TTGTTTCGGGCATGTAAGGATCACAGCTGATACTTATTGAAAGTTTACTATGCACGGGTACTGTGCTAAAGCCTCCAGATTAATAATAGTCCTTGGAGTCGGTCTTGGTGTGGGGAAAACTAGGCATAGAGAAATAGCTTGCCCAAGGTCACAAGTTAACTAGAGTTGAAGCCTGGGTTTCCAACCTAGAGAGTCGGCCTCCAGAGCCCAAGGTCACGCCTCTCCCTGAGTAAGGAGAGCGTACAGCGGCAAGAGCAGGAGAGACTGGCCGAGGCTCTGGATGTCCCAGTGTACCCTCCACTTGAGCTGGAGCTGAGAATGGACGTCTGTCTGACTGTGTCCTCCCGGCCTCAGCAGAGGCTGCAGGGGAGTCTGAGCGGTGTCCCCCGGGGATCAGAGGTGCCTTGGAAACCAGCGTGCACTGGCGGGAGTGGGGAGGAGGGGTGGGTGGGGAGACTGTCAACTGCCTATGGCCAATAAAACTACAGATCACGCCAGCCTCTCCCAGGAAGGGGTGGTTGGCTATAGTCAAGGAGGAGCGGGGCTGGGGTGCAATCTGAGTGAGATTTCTCTGCTGGATCAGTGTAAGAGGGTAAGTGATATCTAGCAGAGGTGCAAGAATAGGGAGTCTACACTCAGTGGGAAAGCGCAGTGTCTTTCTCGCTCCTTCTCTTTGGGAGCCCAATCCCTTGGCAGCGGCCTGTTGTATTTGTTGACTGGTTAGTTGGTTGGGGCCAGAGGAGGGAATGCAAGAAATCCCCTGAATATCACCAGAATAGGAGCAATGCTGAGGAGTATGGGGGGAATGCTCTAGTCTCTCTAAATCTCAAATCCTTCCTCATTCTCTCCAATTTAGCATAGAATCAGTGTAAAAACGGTGTCCTCCCCTGCCTTCCAATGTGATTACTGCCCTTGAGTCCCTCCTGGCAGAAATTCTGGAGCTGCCTTTATTCCCCCAGGCAGCTGAATACATCCCAGTCAGGTAATAATAGCCGTCCTTATTTATTAAGTACTTATTATGTGCTCTCAATGTACTAAGTGCTTTATAATCACAATCTCAATCCTTTACCTTCTTCCCCCAAAAAGATTCTGTGAGATGACAACCATCATTACCCCCAATTTACAGATGATGACCCTGAGGCTCAGAGTAATTTACCCAGGATCACAAGGCTAGTAAGGGGTAGAGACTAGATTTCAACCACTGTCACAGTCCTCAGCCATTTGCTTATATCACTTCCTCCAGTCTTTTCCTCCACTTACAGCTAATATCCATTTATCCAGTGTCCCAGCTTGGGATGTCTATTTATTGGGCAAATGTAAGGGGATGAGTGATATCTAGCAGTGCAGATGCCTTCCGAATCATCACCCATTAAAGTGTTTATATGCTTAGGGGAGCTTTAAGAGTATTATCATTTAATCTTTTGGAATTTGATGATCCACATATGAACAAAGTTAAAACAAGAATATAAAAATAAACAAGAATATTCCATTAGTCTGAATAACCAGTTGTGGCAAGCTGGCATTGCATGTCTAAGTTAATTTGTTGGCGCCACTTTAATTTACACGTAAAACAAAACAAATTTTTACCAGAAGGTATTCCTTTGTGTTCCTAATTTGAAGGGAATCTTCACGGTCTTTTTATATCAGTTGTATCAATTACAACAAATCAGTGAGGTAAAATCAGCAAATTAATTATCACAAAGCCAGTGAATAAAATTAATTTCCTCTGACAAACGCAGTTTACGAATCTAATGAACAGTGTTCTACGACAAAGTTTCTAACAAATGCAGCTTTCTATATCAAACATTCGTAACCTCAGGGAAACTATTCAAACAAATCTTTTTATATTATAGGAAAAAAAAGCTTCTTGTACCTTTTTAGTAAACAGATAAAGACAAACTCAGATATATGATTCAGAATATGTATTTATATAACTTAAAATTCTCCTCAACTGTCTAAACAAAAGCTAATTCTTAACCCAGCATTTTACATTCTCAGAAGCATTCTTCTCTAACTTCACCTGGTAATTCTTCATTACCTTCTTATTGCCTCAATATTTTTAAATATTTTCTTCACCTCTTTTAGTTTTCCTCAGCAGGTGGCTAGTCCAAATTACCCGCTCTACTGTTATCAGAAGTGGAAGTCATCAATAGCTTTGTAAAATTATCTCTAAAAATATTGCAGCCTCTGATTTTAGTTTTAATCAAAGCTGAATCAAAACAATTTGGACTTAACATAATTTATTTCTTCTATAGTCTCTAATCATTGCAGATAAATGGGAATTTAGTGCACATTTTTCCCATCAAAGGAACCCAAAACAAGTAGTCAAGAGACTATAGCAATAATAATCTCTTAAGTTTGCACAGCAGAGACTTCCACTTCTAATAACAGTGGAGCGGGTAATTTGGACTAGCCACCTGCTGAGGAAAACTAAAAAGGGTGAAGAAAATATTTAAAAATATTGAGGCAATAAGAAGGTATGAAGAATTACCAGGTGAAGTTAGAGAAGAAAAACAAAATCCAGTGAGTTAAGTCCTGCGTTTGGGACCTCTTGCTCTGGAAGCATTCACTGTTCACGGAAAAGAGAGTAATGCTTTTGCTGGCGTCACACACTAGAGGACAAAAGTTGGAGCCCAGGCCCTGCTTTGGATTGAGATTCTGAAAAAGCTACACCTGAAGTAAACCAGCCCTCGCTGGGGTTGCAACCCAGCTTCAAGTCATCTGTGTGGTCCAGGAAATCTTACTCCTTAACAGTAAATTGATAGAAGCAAATGAATTCCTCTTAGAAAAAGATAGCATCACCCAAGATCTCAAATTGCTTCCACAGACAATTTTTCAAATATAATGTCTGGCACACAATCACAGACATCAGGCACACGAGGAGACAAGATGTTAGGAATAAGTGCCAAGAGAAATGACAAGCAATAGAAATAGTCACATGGGAACCCCAGATAGTGGAATTATTGGGCATCAATTTTAATATAACTATGCTTACTATGATCAAGAATATAAAAAACAAGATTGGAAATTTGGGCAAAGAACTGGAAACTATAAAAAGTGACAGTATATATAAAAAAAGCAACTAGAAATTCTAGAACTGAAAAACAAAATAACTGAAACTAAGAACTAAATAGATGGATCTGTAAACAGAATTACAACTAAAGAGAATTTGTGAAATGGAAAACAGGTCAGAAGATAATATCCAGAATGAAGCATGTAGTGAGGGTAAGAGACATAGAGAATACAGTGAGGTTTACCATATGTTTCATCAAAGTCCCAGAAGGAGAGAAGAGAAAGAATGTAGCAGAGGAAGTATTTGACAATTTTCCTGAAGTGATGACAGAAAACAACCTACCAATTCAAGAATCATTATGAGCTACAAACAAAATAAATAAAAAGAAATCCACACCTAGATTATTAGTAATAAAACTTCAGAAAATAAAAAAGAGAGAAAACTTACTAAAAATATATGGGGGTGGGGAAAACATTGTCTTCAAAGAAATGACACTCAGGCAGCTGATTTTTTCAACAGCTACAGTGGAAGCTAGAAGACTGTGGAATTCAGTCTCCAATGTGCTAGAAAAAGTAACTACCAATCTGGAATCCTATACCCACCAAAAATATATTTCAAAGATAGCACAAAATAAGATATTTTCAGGAAAAACACAACAAAAAAAATGTCACCAGCAGACCTCACAAAAGGATACTCTAAAGAATTTACTTCAGGCAGAAGGTAAGTGATGTCAAATGGGATGTCTGAGATGCAAGATATTATAAAGAGCAAAGACAGTGGTAAATATGTGGACAAATGTAAATAAAAATTTAATAATGGTATGAAAGCAACCAACTATGAAGTTAGGGGGCACAGTCCACATAAGAGCACCCTCACTTCTGACACCAATTGTAAGTTTGGAGATCCCCCAGACCACCCTTACGTTTGATAATTTGCTGGAGGGACTTGTAAAACTCACAGAAAGCTGTTATACCCACAGTTATAGTTTATTACTGCAAAGGATAGAGATTAGAATCAGCCAAGGGAAGAAATGCATAGGGCAGAACCAGGGAAGTACCAAAAGCAGAGCTTCCAGTTGTCCTCTCTCCATGGAGTCAGTATACCTTTACTTTCCTGGCATTGATATATGACAATATGCATTGTGTATTGCCAACCAGGGAAGCTTACCCAAGCCTTGATATCCAAAGTTTTTTTTTTTTTGAGGAAGATTAGCCCTGAGCTCTCTACTGCCAATCCTCCTCTTTTTGCTGAGGAAGACTGGCCCTGAGCTAACATCCATGCCCATCTTCCTCTACTTTATATGTGGGATGCCTACCACAGCATGGCTTTTGCCAAGCAATGTCATGTCTGCACCCAGGATCCGAACCGGTATACCCTGGTACGCCAAGAAGCAGAACGTGCAAACTTAACCGCTGTGCCACCGGGCCAGCCCCCTCAATATCCAAAGTTTTTCTTGAGTTTCCATGATGTAAGCGTGGTTGACCACCCTTGTGGCTGATCTCAGTGTCCAGTCTCTCAAGAGGTCACACTGTTACTGAGTGACCCAAAGCCCCCACCCCAAATCACATTGTTACTATATGGCTGGCCCAAGGTCCCCAGTTAAAACAAAAACACTCCTATGAGGCATGACATTTCAAGGACCTAGAGATGACTGTCCACTGGTGAAGGGCTGAGGTCAGACCTCTTTTTGGGCAAGTTAAATTATTTTTCTACACAAGCATCTAATAAGTTTAAAATTTTCACCAATGTGGCAGTCCCCTGGATCTTTATAGGGCTTATATCCCATCTTCTGGCATGTATCTGTCTTACCAGGGCATCTGGAATACCTGCCATTTGTTGCTCACTGGGTCTAGCTGGCATGATGTCATCAGTATAGTGCTCCAATGTGATGTTCTGCAGAATGTCTAGACAGTGAAAGATTCTTCAGACCTGCATTGTTCAATATGGTAGCCACTAGCAATGTGTAGCTATTCAGCACTTGAAATGTGGCTAATTGAATTAAGAGGTGCTGTAAGTGTAAAATATACATGAGATTTTGAAGACTTGGTATGAAAAAATTATGTAAAATATCTCATTAATATTTTTATACAACTTGGGCTAAGTAAATATATATATTACTGAAATGATAATATTTTAGACAAGTTGGGCTAACTAAATATATATATTATTAATTTCGCTTGTTGCTTTTTGACTTTTTTTTAGCGTGGTTACTAAAATTACACGTGTGACTCATATTATATTTCTACTGGACAGCACTGCTTAGACTATTTTGGTACTGAGTATAATGGTTAATTTTATGTGTCAGCTTGACTGGCCACGAGATGCCCAGGTTAAACATTATTTCTGGGTGTGTCTGCGAGAGTTTTTCCGCATGAGATTAGTATTTGAACTGGTGGACTCAGCAAAGTAGGTTGCCCTTCCCTGTGTCAGTGGGTATCGTACAATCATTGAGGGCCTTAGTAGAACAAAAGGGGGAGGAAGGAGGAATTTACCCCTTTTTTCTGCCCCGCTGTTTGAGCTTGGATATCTGATGTCATCATCTCCTGCCCTTGCACTGAGATCTACACCATCAGCTCTCCTGGTTCTTAGGCTTTCAGACGCGGACTGAATTTGCCATTGGTTTTCCTGGATCTTCAGCTTGCAGATGGAAGACTGTAGGACTTCTCAACCTCCAAAATCACGTGAGCCACTCCCTTACAATAAATCCACCTCTCTGTTCTGTTTCTATGGAGAACTATGACTAATTCACTGAGAGCAGTAGAGTTAACATGGACTGGACAAGACTGAATTTGTGCTGTTCTCCATCCCGGGTGAAAGCAAACTGCTTTTGATCCCCCTCCTTAATGGAGTTTGAAATAATGCATTTGCCAAATCAATAGCCACGTACCAGTTGTCAGGCTGTGTTAATCTGGAATGGCAACTAAAATTAGGGCTGCATCTTTGTTAAATTTATAGTAGTCCATCATTATCCAGCATGATCCATCTGGGTTTTGCAGGGGTCATATGCCAGTGAATGAAACGGAAAATAGAATGGAAACCACCACCCATTCTTTAGGTCTTTGAGGGAGGCACTAATCTGTCATTCGACCCAGGATGCAATATCTCTTGATTTATTATGTGGCCAGGAGTTGGGAGTAGTTTCAGGGGCTTCCAGTTGGCCTTTCTTTTTCATTTTCCTTTTTTTAAGTTAAATGACTCTTACTCAACAGATCAGGGAGCCAATGTGAGGATTCTGCTAAATGCTAGGAAAATCCATCCTGATTATGACTCCTAACTGGGCATGGATTATGGTCATGGAGTCATGGGGAAATGACCACAGGTGGGTCTGCAAACCTTTTGGACCATGGTGAAATGGATTTGGGGCCAGGACTCCATTTAATCACCGGACCTTCAAATGCCCCGCACTTTAACAAGAAGCCATGATAGTGTTTTCGGCCCCTGGTGTCAGCTCAGATCCTAAATCCAATACCCCTCAAAGAATCTGAGTATTCTCTTTTTCCCAGTTGACAGTTACTCTGGTTGATGACTGAAGGCCTCTTGGGAAAAAGGATTGGGAGAATAGCTACTATATCTATTCATTATGGCATTTCAGGGTTTTTCCTTAAGGAGACTCCGCCTGCCTTTCAATTGTTATGCTTAGATCTTAGAACTATCTCAAGTTTGGAAACTGACAAAAGATCATGACTTTTCTATCCTGGTAGTGACGTCAGTCTTATGGTGTCTGATCTTGATCTTCTTTTGATTATGTAAGTCCAACAATACCCTTGTTTGCTGCCTGTCTTAGTCTGTTTGGGCTAGTATAACAAAAATACCATAGACTGGGGAACCTAAAGAACAAACATTCACTTCTCACGGTTCTGGAGGCTGGGGAGTCCAAAATCAAGGTGCTGCCAGATTGAGTGTCTGGTGAGGGCCTGATTGCTGGTTCATAGATGGCTGTCTTCTCTCTATGTCCTCACAAGACAGAAGGGGCAAGAGAGCTCTCTGGGGTCTCTTTTATAAGGGCACTACTCCTGAGGGCTTCCTGATGACTTAATCACCTCCCAAAGACCCCACCTCCTAATAGCATCACACTAGGGGTTAGGATTTGAACATATGAATTTTGGGCAGACACAAACAATCAGTCTGTAACTGCCCATGTACCTCATCCTAGGAACGTAATCATCATTAGCCATTCCCACATATCCCTGTGGGTCATGCTGATCTTGGTACCTTTCCCACCTATGTGGTTGTGATATCTACCATGTTTCTGACAGTTTAGAGCTGTCACATAGTTTGTGCTATTCTGGAATCCTGCTATGACCATTGACACTAGGGAGTCTGGTTCCATAACAGCATGTCCTACTAGAAGCCTGGGTGCCATTCAGGTTTGCAGTGATTCAATAGCCTTCTCACCAATTCATTCCTTATTATTTTAGAGAAGAGAGTGACTTCTGGGACCTCCCAGGAAACATAGCAGCTGACGGATCCTCTGGCATGACATAAGACATTCTGAAATTCCTACCTCTCTTACCTGAGATTGTTAGCTCTCTGGCAAGTCCAGCCTGCTCCATGCACAGGCCAGCTGCTAAACAAAGACCATAGACAAAGAGTCACTGGTGTTTGCGGTAGGAAGCTGTCAGGTTATAGTGCACAAAAATAGTAAGTGCCCAGGAGGTGTGGAACAGGTACCGACAGTGTATGCTGCATTATCCCAGTTCCTCCTTCCTTTAGGGCTGAGGAAATAACCACAGGGTGGGTCTGAAGATTCACTGGGCCCGCTGTCAGCTAGACTTGAGTCGGGACTCAATTATCATCTGGCCTCCACAGGCCTTCATTCTAAGTACAGGAGCTTGTGATGTTTTGAGTCTTCTGGTTTCAATCAATCTTATCTCAGATCCCATATCACATTGTCCTTGGGAATTCTGGGTATTGTCCTTTCCCTGGTGCACAGTTACCCTGGAAAGGGATCTCAAGTCTCTCTGGGAGAATGATTGGGAAAATATTTACTCTGTATACATGTGATGTGTTGCAAGTTCCTCCCTTAAGGGGACCTGACGTCTCTTTCAAACGATGAGCTCTGGGCCTGAGAACTGACTTACACCTGGGAGCTTAAGAGGGAATGTGGTTTTCCATTATGACAGCTGACAGCAGCCTTCTGCTCATGAGCTCTTGATTTTTTTTTAAATTATGTAAATAAGCATGCCCTAGTCAGTTGTCCATCTTTCTCCCCACTAGAAGCACTATGATCCGTTAGCCATCTCTCCAGATCCTTGTGGTTCAAGGAACCCTGATGGCTGGTCCAAACTTGCTCTCCAACACAATAATTACATTCACTTTCCTTTGACATTTAAATGCAGTCACCTGGCCTCTGCCCTCCAGAATCTCATCATCTCCATTGATAGTAGCACCTTTCACTGTTGACACCAGCCGACAGAGGACTGCCACTATCAGGTGTCTCAGAGATGCTGGCTGCCTTAAAAAAACGAGTGTCCTCTGTTGGATTCTCAGGTCTTACATAGTAAATCAATCCCAACATTCCTACCTCCTTAACCCTTCTGAGCTTTTTTCAATACTGTGTCAAGGAAGTTCTGGTAATATCCTCCTCATTTCTCTAGGCTAAGCTCCATCCCAGCAGTCTGTTAGGACCAACTCTGGGTCCTCTTGCCATGGCACTGGATCCTGACTTGTGGATGAAGGCCCCCGAGTAGGAAAATCTCCCCTTTCCCAGGCTTATATTCCACTCCTTCCTCAGTCCAACAGCTTCCAAATCCACTCTCCCACACAACCCCCGGTTCTTCCTTTACACAGTAGCCAGGACCCACAAGTGCTTTGGCTTGTGTGCTATTTTCTCTTAGAGCAGGGACTGACTTCCTTGCTCAGGCTATGTGGAGACCTGATTTTGGTTATTTGCTTTGAAACAATCAAGAGTGGAGGGGTGGCTCTCCAGTAAAAGGAGTGGCATCTTGCAGGGTACCTGCCTCAGCTGGGGTCATGGTCTAGTCTCCTCTGCTGAAAAGAAGGGGGCTCAGGGAGGCTCAAGGAGAAGCAGGTTCAAGCTTCTCGGGCTTATCCACTCAAATGTCCCAGTTTCAGGGCTCAGGTTCCACTCTTATCCATAAGGCTAAGATGACAGGTCTCCTTGACTGGAGACCTGTTAAGACTGCGTATGCTCTTTTTCGACTCTGCCACTCTTACAAGCAGATCCTGGGCCTGCTCTTTAGCAACTGCTTCTTAAAAGCTGCCAAAGGGGCCCTGTGGCTTTCATTTCACAGTGTGACTGGAATTGGCAATTGGCTACCCTGAGCCTACCGTCTCTGTTTTTCAACCAGAAGCCAGACTACTCCACAGTTATTAAAAGCGTCATTGCTTCCAAACAATTTAAGTGCCACAGCTACCACCTATCGCCAAACTTCGTCTCAATCAATCATAGGTGAAAGCCTGAGTAGTTTTGATGCGTGGGGATCCTCTCCTGCTTGCGTGGAGTTATTTGCGTCTCCACTTAGCACCAGCAGTAGTGTTTTTATTGCTGTCATACTGGTGAATAATCTAACTGCCAAATCTCAACCACCCTGTTAGGCTTAGCCTGGGTTCCCCAGAAACAAAGCCTGCAGCTGAGGGCTCATGGCAGAGATGTGTTAAGGAGCATATTCCTAGGGACAAGGAGAGTGAAGCAGGGAAGGAGGGAGAGCCAGTGCCGGAAGGTGTTATTGAGTGGGCTGCCACTAAATGGGAAGAATTGCTGGATCTGTGGATTGTGCCCCAAGGACATTCTTTAAACTGCACCTACCATCCCCCACCTCCCACTGAGCAAAGATTCACCCCAGAGGGCATTAACTCTCCTGCACTTCAGGGCTGTGCATACAGACCCCAAGGCATTGTCAACAGAGCAGGGCAGAGAAGCACGGTATGGGCAGGAAGTGACATACTGTCAGGTTACCCCTGCATGGAGCTGTCCAAAGCCCCTGCAGAGCTGAAACCAGAGCCAGATGAGACCAAGAGGGTCTGGAGTGGCCCAAGAGAGGGAGCGGAAGCAGTGAGTGAACACCACGTGCTCCACCCTGACTCCAGACCACCAGGTTCAGAGGGACCAGGAATGAAGCCAAGGGAATGTAGAGTCGCGTGGGTTCTACCTGAGGGGCCCAAAGGTTTGACTGCCCATACCTTTAATGTGCTGCTGGGAGTGAGGGCTGTAAAGAAACTGAATAAATGGAATTTGAGAAGAACCTGTTTTGGTTGTTATTTTGTTCACAACAGGAGCATTTGAAGCAGGTCTAACCCTTCAGGAGTGGCTGAGCCTCTGGGGTCAATTATGCCACCACGTTTATCCTCCTTGCATGGTCCTTCAGCCAGGGTGTCTCAAATATATGTCACAGAGAACCCTATGACCAGTGATTGTCAAAGCTAGAACAGATCTTAGCAATGGCCTCACCCGAGTCCCACATTCCACGGATCAGAAAAACTGAAGCTCATGGTGTAATAATAACAGCAATAATTACCACCACAGTGATCATTTCAGCTATCATTTTTGAGTACCTACTAGACATACTTTTTAAAAAACTTAAAGCCCATAAGAGCTCTCATTTTGCAGGTGAAAAAGGGTCTCAGATAGGCTCTGATTTAATCAGTCTGGGTGATTCTAATGACTAGAATGTAGGCACTGACGTTTAACTTAAAATTGTTTTGTCTCCCTCTCCCCCAAAAGACTGGTGAGCCTGAACCTTTAAATCAACCCTCTTGTCCCTCTCCTTTAATTGCCTATCTACCTTCAATCCTTTTAAATGAATCTGGATGGCGTTTCTCCCATATTCTGTTATTATGAGGATCTATTCTTAGATGCTCAGTATCTAGAAAAGAGGATAGAGGCAAGAGACTGACGTTTGTTGAGTGCATACTGGATACCGGATATTGTCCAAGGGCCTTTTCAATTGATTAAAGTAATGTTCATTTAATTCTTACAACAGCCTGGAATGTTAGGTGTTATTATTTGCCTCATTTTGCAAATGAGAAAACGAGTCTTCAGGGAGGTTGAACTGCCTAAGATCTTCCAGCTAGTAAAAGTCAGAGACAAGGATTGGAACGTAGTTCTGTCTGCCTCTAAAGCCCCTTTCTCTGTACTGTGCTGCAAAAAGATTTGGTTCAGCAAATCTAACTGTTCATTTTATTTGAAAATAATAACTGAGTTTCACCTGGGTGTCTTTTTGAGTCTGTAAGTGACTGAGAGGTTTTCAGTTCCCAGTTTTTTGACTTAAACTCCTTCTCTTTGCCCTGATTTAGGAGAGTCAGAAAGCAAAGGTGACGCATGGGTCTGCATGCAGAAGTGAAGGACCTCAGCAGGAAACCCGCAGGAATTCAGGGCAATTGGAGGCAGAGACTATAGCCGCCAGGAAGGGAGGGGTCAGTCAGCCCAGGGACCATCAGCACACCAGTGGCTTCACTCTATCAACCCTTGGCGGCCTGTTTGACCATCATCCCTTCCTCCCTGAGGTTCGCACTCTGGCTCCTGGAATGTCACCCTGTTCTCCGCAGGGGCCAGCAGTGGTGCTATTGCACAAGTCCAGAGGGTGCCATTGGCGTGCTCCAGGGCGTTCATTTACACATGTTACCCCTGGGTGGTATGATCACCTCGGTCTGAATCTGGAGAGCGTGGGAGAGAGGGGCATGGCTTCTCTTGGGGTCTGCAGTAGGAGACTCTTCTCAGGGTTCTGAGAGAGGAGCCTGTGGTCATGGGGTGTGAGGGAGGAAGCTGGGACCCTGCAGCTTTCAGTCCCAGCAGAACAGTGACATTTGAGGGAATAGAGGAAGAAATCCCTGGGCAAGAGTTTGAGGGGACTGTCATGAGAAGGGAGCACAAACCACCACACTCCTAGCGCCACATAATATGCATATTGCATAGAGTTTCCTGAGGGCAAAGCCTACAGGCAGAGTGTCCGAGCACACTGTCATGGCCCAGGCAGCCTAAGTTGCCACGGTCAAACCTACAGTCTCACAAAGTCAGGCCACTGCCATCAGCACCCACAGGATGACGAAGCAAACAAAGGCTAGAACAGAGTTATTCTAGGTTTGAGGGGAGGGTGGAGTTGTGGTGACATTTAGATCAAGCCAGTTTTGACAGGTTCAGAACAAAGCAATGTGTTGAGCGTCAACACCAGGTCTGGACCGCACCGTGGACCCAGAGTCTTCTTTCTTTGGAAACAATAAATTTAATGCAATTGGGGTTTCTGTTCCATATTAGAAGATAAGGATGGATATGAGGGAGAATCAGCTGTTTCTGCCGCAGTAGCAGAGCCCAGACTTGGAATGCATCTGTCTGACCCCAAAACCAGTGCTCTCAGTTTGGGCCATTCATTTAATTCCATCCATAGACCCAGAAATGTTTTCATTCCTGCAATGGCTCTATGGCATTTATGCATCTAGAGTCACATACACAAATATGCCTCCACATGACAAAACCGAAAAACAAAGTGGTCCACTTGGACCTGGGGGCTGCTTGTCAGGTTTCTATTAACATGTTCTTCCCATTTGTTCCTCAGTTTTGTCAGGAGCTAACAATTACATAAGTTTAAGGGAAAACTTGGGAGAAAAATTTTAAATAGGAAAACCTCACTTCTTTTCTTGTTTATAGTCAGTGTTCAAAAGCCAAGAAGTAAAAATAGATATATTTGTGTGTCTGGTGGCCTGGAAGCCAGTTCCAGCTCAGTTACTAAATCGCCACAGGACTCCGACCAAGGTCCTTTCCCCTCTCTACATCTCATTTTTGCTTCTATAACCCAAGAAGGCTGAGTTAACTGACTTCTGAGGGCCCTCCCATCCCTTTTGGTCTGTAGATTTCCTTTGAAATCTCAAGTCTGAGAGTGCGTTCCTACCACCTACCTCACCCCTTCTAAAGTTTGTTTCTCTCATGGTTAAGAATCTCTGTTTAGTTCATCAAAATGCAGATCTCACTCCTGTGGGCGTAGGTTGCTTCTTCCAACTCAACATAGAGTCCCAGTGTTGAAAAACTCTGCTGGCCGTTGCCAATCTGTGGACATATCATAATATGTGGAGACACAGGCTGTTATTCTTTTTTTCAAATTGTGATAAAATAGACATAACAAAATTTACCATTTTAACCCCCCTTTTTTTTTTTTAAGATTGGCACCTGAGCTAACAACTATTGTCAATCTTCTTTTTCTTCTTCTTTTTTTATTCCCCCAGTACATAGTCGTGTATCTTTAGTTGTGGATCCTTCTAGTTGTGGCATGTGGGACGCCGCCTCAACATGGCCTGAGGAGCGGTGCCATGCCAGTGCCCAAGATCCGAACTGGTGAACCCTGGGCCACCGAAGCAGAGCGTGCAAACTTAACCACTCGGCCATGGGGCTGGCCCCCATTTTAACCATTTTAAAGTGTACAATTCAGTGGCATTAAATACATTCACATTATTGTACAACCATCACCACCATCCATCTCCAGAACTTTTTCATCTTCCCAAACTGAAACTATACCCGATGGCAAGAAATTTTCACATATTGTGGTATATGGGGTAGCTATTCTGGTTTGAATCTAATTCAGCTTGAACTAAAGAAGCCTGACTTAACGGCCTATCAAACATACATTGTACATCTGCTTTAACCGTTAAAGTAATGAACACATTACACATTATCTCAAAGTAAAAGAGTGCACTTTTTAAAGATAGGAAAGCATACTTCCCCTCCTGCGATTCCAGTGTTGGTAACACCCACATCACTACTCTTGAAGATAAGTCTCCTTTCCTGGACATCAGGGTCATGTTGACCTGCTAATTTGCAACTGAATACCTCTTTGAAACTTTGATGAATGTGTGTCCTGGGTGTGTGTTTAATGGATATTCTTTGTTTTAAAAAGGTATAAAACTACACTGAAAACCATGCTTCTGGGGAACGGTTTCTTCCTTTGTGGAGACTGCCTTCCTGGGTCATAATCCTCAGCTTGGTTCAAGTAAAGGTCACCTTGTCTCTCTTATCTATAGAATAGTTATTGGTTATTTTGCGTTGATACCATTAAATAACAACTCCCCTGTTATTTAATCTCCGCTTCCCTCCCCCAGCCCCTGGCAAGCACCTTTCTTCTTTCTGTTTCTGTGAATTTGACTACTCTAGGTATCTGATGTAAGTGGAATTATACAATTTGTCCTTTTGTGTCTGGCTTATTTCACTTAGAATAGTGCTTTCAAGGTTCATCCATGTTGTAGCATGTCAGTTTCATTCCTTTTTAAAGCTGAATAATATTGCACTGTAAGCATATACCATATTTTGTTCATCCATTCATCTGTTGATAGATATTTGGGTTGTTTCTACCTGTTGGCTATTGTGAATAATGCTGCTATGAACATTGGTGTACAAGTACTGTTTAAGTCCCTACTTTCAATTCTTTTGGATATATACCTAGGAGTGGAGTTGCTGGATCGTATGGTAATTCTATGTTTAACTTTTTGAGGAACTGCCAAACTGTTTTCCAAAGTGGCTGCACCAATTTACCTTTGCACCAGCAATGTGTAAGGGTTCCAATTTGTCACCAATGCTTGCTATCTTCTGTTTTTGTTGTTTTTATGAACAATAGCCATCCTAGTGCCTATTGAAAGTGGTATCTCATTGTGGTTTTGATGTGCCTTTTTCTCCTGGCTAGTAATGCTGAGCATCTTTTCACATGCTAATTGGCTATTTGTATATCTTCTTTGGAGAAATTTCTGTTTAAGTCCTTCCCAGAGGCTGTTAGTCGTAAGGGCTGATTCTATACTTTCTCCAGGCCAGCTGTATCCGTCAGTATAGTCTGGGTTATGCTGCAGTAACAACCAACCCTAAAATCCCAGTCACTGAAAACAACAAAGTTTACGTCTCACTCATCTTACATGTCCAACACAGGTCTACAGTGACCTGTGGTGGTCAGGGACACAAGTTGACAGTGACTTCATTGCCATACATGATTCCACTGTTACCACATCCGTGTGAAGGGGACATGTTAAAGCATGTGCTAGGTCTCAGAGCTTCTGCTCACATTCCATTTACCAGAACAAGTCACACGGTTTTTCCTAACTCCAAACGTGAGCTTTAAATGAAGCAGGGAACTGTTACACTACCATGAGCCAGGAAAAAGAGGAAATGGTACATTTGTGAACAGCTCTGATGACCACCACCTCTGCCCACATACTCCCTCAGGCCACTCTTTCTCCAGCCTCATCTGGGTTGGAATTGGGAACCTGGCCCCAGGCAGAACCAAGTTAATCACCAAAATCTGTGGTTTCTTCCCTGGCTGCCTCTCTTTGAAGTTTATTGTGTAAGATTATATCCCCTTTCTTTAGTTTCCACTGTGAATTGTTGACTGTTTTCCCTAATATAGTGTTAATTTTATTACATTTCAGATGAGGGAGATTCTGGAGCTTCAGCGGGCCATCATTATCTTAATTCTCTTACACAAATTTTAAAGACACATGGCAAAGGCAAGAGCTTTGTGTCATGTCTTATCAAGCCCTGACCAGGAAAACCGTTTATAGGTAATGAACAGTTAATGCTCATTAAATGTTTATTTCATATTAGGCACTGGACATATCTTTTACATTCATTATCTTTTTTTTTTTTTTTTGAGGAACATTAGCCCTGAGCTAACTACTGCCAATCCTCCTCTTTTTGCTGAGGAAGACTGGCCCTGAGCTAACATCTGTGCTCATCTTCCTCTACTTTATATGTGGGACGCCTACCACAGCATGGCTTTTGCCAAGCGGTGCCATGTCTGCACCTGCCATCTGAACCGGTGAACCCTGGGCTGCAGAGAAGCAGAACACGTGAACTTAACCACTGTGCCACTGGGCCGGCCCTACATTCATTATCCTACCTAACCCTCCCCCCAATCCCATGAGGTCAATACCATTATTATACCCGTTTTGTAGCTGGGGAAACTGAGGCTGAGATCTAAAGCTAGACACACGGTAAATGATCCAGCCAGTGTTCCCACAGGGCCTGCCCACTCCTGGCCACTGCCCACTGCTCTGGAATAAGCAGAGGGTCCAGAGTTGTACTGGAGATCAAGGAGAGTTGGCTTGGCCTGACTGATGCTCTGCTCCAGATTCCTCTCCACTTTCTCACGCCGTGTGTGTCTCTGAGCGGGCCAACACCTCACTGGGAAGTGAAACAAGTCGTTCAGGAGTATTTGTAAACAGTTGAATTTTGAGTCTGTCTTTGAATTGTATTTGTATTTGAAATTGATTTGAATGCTGATATTTTAGTTAATTTCCATATAAAACGGGTTCTTAGCTGAGGACTCAACCTGGGTATAGTCTTCTGTGGTCTCAGGATCCCTAGAAATCGGTTGGGTGGTGTGTGCATTTTTCCAGTGTCCATTGTTTCACCACATCTTAAAACAGGTCCATGACCCAAAGTGTTCTTACTTCCTTCCGTGAAACATCGAAAAGTTCTTGGTCAAATCTACAAATAATTCTTTGAAAAAAATTTTTTTTATATCTTTATTTTAGCCTTGTTCGGTTAAAAGCAACCATCAGTTTGTGGCTGTGAATTTCAGCACGCATAGTTCAGTACTAGATCAGTCCTCTAGGTGGCAGCAAACCCTCAAATAAGCATTTCCTCTGGTTTTTGAATTTTCCTGTCCCCTTTTTTTTGTGCCAAAGGTGGACCCCAGAGCCCAGACTTCTTTCAGCTCTTTTCATGATTTATAGCAGCATGAGCCAAATATACTCAAGTGCTAATGCTGTGATTCTTGGTCCCAGGTTTTGACCGCTGGATTGATTTCAGTAAGGGCTCAGAGAGCACAGATTTGAAAATTGGAAGCACAGATTTCCCCCAACTAAACTAGAAGCACACTGACTTTACCTCTAGCATTTTGTATTCTCAGTCCCTGGAGCAGAGTTGGGTGAACAATGAATGTGTGGATTACCACAAGAAATATGCAATGCTGCACGTTGCCTGGCTTGGAGAAAGGCTTTAAATTGCCATATATATGGAAAGCCCAGGGGCCGGCCGATGGCTCAGCAGTTAAGTTCCCACATTCCACTTTGGGGACCTGGGGTTCGCTGGTTCAGATCCCGGGTGCGGACATGGCACTGTTTGGCAAGCCATGCTGTGGTAGGCATCCCACATATAAAGTAGAGAAAGATGAGCACAGATGTGAGCTCAGGGCCAGTCTTCCTCAGCAAAAAGAGGAGAATTGGCAGCAGATGTCAGCTCAGGGCTAATCTTCCTCAAAAAAACAAAGAACAAAAACATGGAAACCCCAGTGTCCTAGCTTCCTAACTTCAAGCAACAGAAATCCACTCTGGCTGTCTTGAGCAGAAAAGGAATTTATTGGGATGATATGAGAGTAGGTTGAAGAATCATGAGGAAGGGTTGAAAATTTGGACTGTTCCCTCACTTTGCACCATGCCTCCCAGACTTCTGGGTGGATGGATCCTTCCACAGAGCCCAAGCCACATTCCAGAGCCCCGGCTCCCAAAGGGTGAAGAGAGGGAGGATTGCCCTGATGCGGCTTCCCTGGGGGTGGGGGTGGTAGGGCCTGCTTCCTACCGCACCATGCAGGATGCAGCAGTGGCCCCCGCCTGCTGGGCAGGCCTCACCAGAGTCCATCAGGAGCCTTTGCCAGACTCTGCCCCATCACAATATTTTTATCACTGCTCATTTCTTCTTCTTAACTTTTTGGCATCATTATGAAGACTGCGGACATTCTTGGCTTGACTTTTCTTGTATTCCCAGCTTACTAAGTGTTTTTGAAAACAGAAATCACTATTGTATTTTATCAAATGATTTATGGGCACAAAGTTTTCCTCCTTTAATGTGTTTCTACAGACAACGACCTTAACATATCTACTAATGTTGAACCAGTCTTGCATTTGTGAGATTAACACATTCATTTGACAAATAGTTATTGAATGCCTACTATGGAAAACCAGTGTTCTCAGTCCTGGGGATGAAGAGAATAAACAAAGCAGAAACAACTGCCTACCTGCAGGGGGCATACACTCTAGCTGGAGGGAGACAGAGGTTTTTTTTTTAATGTGAAATGTAAAGTATGTCACAGAGTGATAAGTGCTGTGGAGGAAAATAAAACTTGGAAAGGCACAGGAAGAGGGGTGTGTGTGTATGTGATTTTAAACATGGTGGGCAGGGAGTGACATTTTAGAAAAGGCCTGAAGGAAGTAGAGTGCCATGTGACTGGAAGAGCATTCCAGGCAGAGCGGACAGCATGTGCAAAGGCTCCAAAATGGAAGCAAAGTCTGTGGTGTTAAGGGACAGAAAGGACAGCTGTAGGACTGGAGTGGAGGGAGCAAAGGCAATGAACTTGGAGGTGACAATAGGCGGTTAGCTCACAGAAGCCACTGGAAAGACTCGGGCTTTTCATCTGAAGGAGATTGAAATGCAGAATCACTGCAGGGCTCTGAGCAGAGCAGTAACTTTCTCTGAGTTATGCTGTAACAGGATCCCTCTGACTACTCTGTAAAGACCATTCTGGAGTGGAGCAAGAACTGAATCAAGAAGACCAGTGAAGGGGTGGCTGCCATGATCCAGGTGAGAGAGGAAGATGGCTTGGACCAGGTGGTGACAGGGCAGATGCTAAGAGTTCATCGGATTTGGAATAGATTTAAAAACTCGGCTCACAGGGTTTGGCATGTAATGGCATGTATCTAAGAGGATAAGGTATGCAAAAGAAGAGTCAAGAATGACCTCAAAGATTTTTGCCTGAAGGATAGATTTGACATTAACTAAGATGTGAAAGACTTCAGGGGAAGCAAGTTTGATGAGAAAAATAGGAGTTTACTTTGGAGCATATTGCATTTGAGATGCTAATCATTGCACTTGGATATATGAGTATGGAGTTCAAAGAACTCCCAGCAAGAGATAAAAATGTGGGAGTCCTCAGTATATCGATGGCACTTAAGCCCTGAGATGAAATGAGCTCACGCAGGGAGTGAGTGTAGATAGGGAGACCGTCTAAGGACTTCTCTCTGGGGCACTCCAAGGTCAAAGCAGTCAGGAAGATGAGGAAGAACCAGCAAAAGAGATTGAGAAAGTGCAGCCAGAAGTAGCAGGAAAATCAAAAGTACGTGCTGAGAAAAGTTTTTCTAAGAGGAGGGAGTGATCGGCTGGGTCAGATGCCGCTGAAAGTTCCAGCAGAATTCCGAACTGAAAACTGAGTACTGGAGGTAGTCGTGGAGAGGTCTTTGGTGACCTTGACAGGAGTGGTTTCATGGAGTGACTGGGACAAAAGTCTGAGTGGAGAGCGTTCACAAGAGAGTGGGAGGAGAGACACAGTGTCAGCACACGTAGACAACTCTCTTCAGGAATTTTTCTGGGAATAGAAAGAAACAAATAGATCGGTAGCCAAGGGCAGGAATGAGATTAAGAGACTATCAGATGGGAGATATATCATTAAGTTTATACGTTGCTGGGAATCATTCAGTGCAGACAGCAGAGCGAGGAAGAAGTGCTAGGGAGCTGTCTTCGAGACATCAACAGGTGGTGGGGTCTGGAGCGCTCAGAGGACAGGCTTTGGCTAGAAGACAGGACCGTTCATCCATCCTGCCAGGAGGGGATGCTGTGTGTGGTCACAGGTGTATGGAGATGGGCAGTGTGGTTGTGCAGGATAGTGGAGGTTCACCCTAAAATGCTTCTGGTTTCTTGTCAAGGTCACAGCTGAGGATGAGGATGGGGAAGGAAGTGTTGGAGGTTTGAGGAAAGAGGACAAAGTAAGAAACAGCTTTTCTGGAGAGAGAGAGGTGAACAGAAATACAGAAGGATTCCTAGGAAGTGCTGAGGGCTGCCTGGCCATGGATTTGGAAGTGAGAGGGTCAGCTGGGTGAGGTGTCTTTCTCAGGAATGCTCCTCTGACTGGGTGCATGCCTGAGCTTGCCAACATTTGCTCTCTTAATTGGTCTTTTCACAGAACCAAAATTCTAATTGACCAGGTCAAACATTGTGGGGCCCCCCCTTTACCTTCTGCCTTTACTTTCATTAATCATTTCCTTCCACTTACATTCTTCTAGTTTCTAGAGTTGAAAACTTGATTCCTTTATTTTTAGGGTGTTTTCAAACTTATTTTCAAATAAATCCACATAAGCTGACGCATTTTCTTCTGAATCGTCTTTTGTCAACCTCCCACAGGGTCTGCTTTATAATTCTCATGTTGAAATTTATTTCTAGAGAGTTTGTACTTTTGGTGTTGATTTCCTCTTTCCTCCCTGACTTGAGTAATTTATAACAGCGTGTTGTGGTTAATTTCTAATTTTATTGTATTGAGATTAAGTGAGTATGGTCTGTGTGATTGTTGTTTTTTGGAATCTTTTTGAGATTTTGTTTTTGTGGCTTAATATTTATGAATGGAATATCTCCCAAAGTAGAAATCATACAGATGTTTCTATTTAATATAGTACTGTAAACTCATCCCCTAAATATAGCAGAGAAATGTAAAAAGAACAAATGTTAAAGATACAACCAGACTCAAAGACATGGAATGTATCTCCACAGACTAGAGGAGGGGCAGAAACACAGAGTGAGGCGTAAGCCTGAAGCCTTTGGACGGCTG